CCTAACTTGTTAGCACACTCTCCCCTTGCCATTTCTCTTTCCTCTCTTCCACGCACGGGCTGCAGTTTGTTCATCTTTTCCACCTCTGCCACCCAGATCCTTTCTCTCTCAGGACTGCAAGCTCTGCCTTACACTCTTCCTTTCTGCAAATCCTTCTTCTGCCTCCCTCACCTCACTTACCAAGCTGTTTCTCTTCTTCTAGAGTGCAGTCTTACGGGTCAGCCTCAGTTGATCATAGCAGCCAACTATTTATATCTCATCCTGATCAATGGAACAAAAATAATAGCAATTAGGCACAAGTTAATCAAATGCATTATTTTTCCTAGGAAAATCAGTAGCACCAGTTTTGAATACTTATGCATTATAAATTCATGTCCAAATTGCATTTCTTTTAGAAATATGACTTCTAAACCTATAAGGAAGATTTTATTGTGTGTATTTATAAAAGTAATCTCATCCTTTATAGCAAGAATATTATGTCATTTACTTTAGGGTGAGTCATTTACTTATAACAAGCTTTGGTTTTGTTACCAATATGCAGGTTGTCTAAGACTTACACAATGAATAAATTGTCTTATAGGCTAAAGAAGGTGCATTTATTGTCAGAGATTCAAGGCATTTGGGATCCTACACAATTTCTGTATTTATAAGAGCCAGGAGGTAAGTAAGTGTGACTGAGGTCTCTGGGACAATTTTTATGGAGGTACCATCATGTAGAGAATATGAGTGAGAGCTTAGGAGAGGGAGAAGACTGCTGGCCTAGAAGTCAGGATGATTAGCCAGCCTGTAGTGTACCCTAACATGCTCCAGTGACACTGTATACATCACTGAACCTCTGCTGTCTTCCTTTTTCTCAATATTACCATCAAATGAGGAGCTAGATCAGTTATGGCACCCAGCTAGTGTGTCCTTCTTGCCCCTCCATCCATGCTGGAGTTGCACTACAGAGAGCGTCTTTCTGCCTGAGGTCAGGCTCTAGCTGTGGGAACCCATGAGCTCTGTGGCCAGACTGGCAGTGCTGGAGAGAAACACTCCAGGAGCGACAGTCTAGCAGTGGGGAGCGGGTGGGTGGGTGCACACTGCTGTCCTTGCATTTCAGAGGACAGCTCTGAGGGGTGCTTGCTTATCTGTCATGGATTCCTAGAAGGATGGAGCCCCAGGTGCCCAGGGCAGTACCCTGCTCACTGATGTGCCTGTGTTGGATTCCCTGTCTTTCTTGTCTCACATTTCCAATTCCTTATAGTGTGTTTGCTCATTTATTTATCCAATACCTGATAAAGAATTCCATGATGAGTTCCACCTTTTCTGGACATGGACTTGTCTCCTAGACAATGTGAGCTGAAGTTATATTTGACCTGAGCATCCAACAAGATAACTGGGGTGATTGTCTGCGGTGATCACATACCTTTGTGTCAGCCAAGCCTCTCTTCCCTGTGCAACGTTGCCTGGATGACAATTTGAGACTTGGGGTCTCATTGCTCCACAGATTGGCTTAGTTTTAAAGTGATGTTTTGCTTGCTTACTGATTCACATCTCATTTGTCATAGAAGTGCAGAGGCTACCATAAAACATTACCAGATTAAAAAGAATGACACAGGACAGTGGTACGTGGCTGAAAGACACCTCTTTCCCTCAGTCCCTGAGTTGGTCTGGTATCATCAACACAACGCGGCTGGTAAGTGTGGCACATCGGGTCAGGAAGGGTGGGCAGCAGGGTCCTCAACGGGCATCCATGCTCATGTCAGACACTTCACAGGAACAAATCTCCCAGTAGAAATAGCTTACAAATTTGAAATACACTCTGTTTTCTAGGTAATTGTTTTCCTAGGCAAGGGGCAAGAAGAAAGTTGATTTTACATTTCTACTAGATTAGAAAAACAATAGATGACAATGACAGAATAGACCATTTAGTCATTATGCATTTGCTCTGGAGACTTATATAGAACTAAACGCAATAGGATTTTTGTACATTAAATAGTATCTCTTGTCCCCTATAAACAAACCTGTTCTCTATTTTAAACGATTGTAATAGAAAATTGTGTTGAATTTCTTGTCTTCTGCTAGTTCTGTTTGGAGAACAGGAAGTGCTCTACAAAGCCCCACCTTGCATAGTTACACTCTGGCCTAAATATGACAGGAATATTTAGTGCCTTTCTTCAACTCTTTGTCTTCTTGTCATGCAGTGCTTTAAAAAATAAATGGTAAAAACTACAGCAACCTATCATGGTCCTGAAACAAACATTTATACTTGAACATGGAGACTGCACATGGGTTTTAAGAGTTTGCATTCTGGGATCACAGAAGCTATAATGAAAGAACAGAGTCTCAAAGATAACTTCAGAGAATAAGGACAGTACACTCACCTAGGAGTAGGTGCTTGACAGTGCTTACTTGTTACTGTATCTCAGAGTTACAAACTAGCAGGTAACGTTGATAGGCTAAACATTGTTGTGACCTTTTCTGGGCATGAATCCTCCAGTTAGCTTCTTTCCCCCTGTCAGAGGTGACAAAACATGCAGCTGTTGAGTGACAAGGAAGCCAGACATTCGGTATAACCACTTTCTGCTTCTGGCAAGTCTTAGAAGTTTCTTGTTTTCACAGTTGCATTTTTTAGGAAAGTGAATGATCAATAAATGATGCTTTGTAATAAAATATTCACTCATGAAAAGCTGCAGCAACAGCAATGAAAAATCCCTTTTGGAAAGAGGCCACTTTTCCATTATCCTGGTTCTCAATATCAGAGATACATCCAGGGCTATTTTGTGTCCTTATGGGATGCACCCACATGGGCATTGTACATGGTCACGGCAAGTGTGGTTGGAAAAGGTGGCGTCCAGGAGGCTGGAGTTGTGGCTGGAGGAAGAAGCCCTTCAAGTCACAGGACAAGTTCTGAGTTTTCTTCTCTTTTCTCTTTGTTTCAAAGAAAGAATGCTAGGGTTGGCGAGATAGCTAGGGGAACTAAACACCTGCTTAAGCAAGCGCAGGGACCTGAGTTCGATCCTCAATACTGCATACCGAGCCAGCCCCACAAGCTGAAGACCAATACCTGGCGTGGTGGCAGATGCCTGTAATCTCAGCGCTGGGGAGGCTGAAAACAGGAGGATTGCTATGAGTCCAAGCTGAGTAGGGATACCCTGTACCAAATACATGAAAAAAAAAATCTAAAGAGAGAGTACTTAGTCAAGGAGGTTAAAAAGAAATAAATAGGACCTATGAACATTAAAAGATGATAATGATAAGTTACTAAGTTAAAAGAAAGTTCAGAGGAATATGTCCAGATCATTCAAAGACCCATTTTATATTAAAAAAAAAATCAAGCATATATGCACACATTCAAAAACCCTGTTAAAGTTCAGATAGTTGTTAAACAAATAATATAAATTTTTGTTTTTATAACTTTTATTTTTTGTATTCTGTTGTTTGGGTTTTTAATTAGATAAATTGTTAATGTTTATCTCTGGGAACTGAGTCTGGGAATAATGGATGCTTTCATTTTCTGCTTTATAGAGAGTTTTAGGATTTGGGTTTTTATTCTAATGCACATATATTATTCTTACAATGTACAAAATACCATGAAGGTAATTTTTTAAAAAAACTATATCAAGTAAAAATAGAAGTAGAAAAAGTATAATCACAATTCTATTTATTACAGAGAAAAGAAAGTAGAAGTAGATAAACAAGAGAGAAGGATAATAAAGATAAGAGAAAAGTCATGGGATCCCAGAATAACATATTTATTAATGATTTACTTTGGGCCAGACTCTGTACTGAGTGTTTTTAATGTGTGTTTAATCTCAGAGTAATCCTAGGTGCAGTGGTATCCTCACCTTACACATGGGAAACCTGGGGTACAGGTAATGAAGTAAGGTGCTCAAGGTCATCTGGTTGATAAGTATCTACGCTGAGATTTGAACCGAGAGACATCTCAGAAGCTACTGTAGGCATTAAACCCACTGGCTCAACTGTTACCACCTTGCCCAAAAAGAATCATGTAATTAGAGAATATGTTAGAGGACCTCCTTTTAGAGGAGTCGTGCATTGGCATCCACGACAGTCTTATCTCCTTTATGTCCTCTGCTCATTTTTATTTTATTATTATTATTATTTTGTGGAACCAGGAATTGAACTCAGGCCCTTGTGCTTGCCAGGGAAGTGCTTGTTCCACTGAGCCATCTCCTGGCCCCTAATCCTCTGCTCATTTGAACTAGGACAATTCATCTCTGCTAGAAGTAAGGCCAACACAAAGCAACGGACTTGTTTCGCTGAGTGGCAGATCATCACTAATGCATTTGTAATAATTTCCAGCATTTAGACATTTGGCAAATAAAAACTTGGAAGTTAGCAGAAAGTGTTAAAGTCTTAAAGAAATTATTTTTATATTCCTTATTTGGATCATGTGCTGTATGAGACTCAGCTAGATGAAGGCTCAACCTCGACTTTCTTGAGACTCATTGGGAAATGCACTCTCTCTCCTCTGAACTCTTACCATTCGCCTCAACACCCTTTCCCAATATTAACCGCTGACCAATCAGCAAATCACCTGGCTGCTTACTTCGGTAAGAAAATGGAAGCCACGAGGCTTGGGTGCCTCTTCTTCTCCTTGGGCTGCCCTTGCTTCCCACCTTCATCCACTTCCTTGGCAGTGAGGCTGCACCTTTGCGCTGGCTCCCATCCCTGCTCTCCTGTGGGGATCCCTTGCCATGCTGAGTCTTTTGTTCTCCTGTAGCTCTTGGTTTCTCCTGAGCCTCTCCTTCTGCCATCAGCCAATACACATACTTAAGGACTTTCCAATTTAAAAACAAAACCAAGACGTTCTTTTCAGCCTTTCTCTGTTTAGACATTGTCTAAGTCACACTTTTGGAAAAAATGTATCCACAATTCCTCATTTCCCATTTGCCTCTTAAGGGTCTGTGACCTGGCTGCCACCTCCATGGTTCCACATTCTACCAGTGGCCCCTGCCTGGGCACGGGCAGTGCAGCTGTTCTGGGCTCATGTGTCTGGCAGTGCCATTCTGTGAAGTTCCTCCCCTTGTAGATGTCTCAACATCACTCTATCCTGTTTACTCTAACTCAGACAATTCCTTATTGGTCTTCACAGTGGGTCCTTGTGTTCTTCTCTGAAACACTGGTATTCTGTAGGGGGCCTCCTTGATCCATGCTCTTCTTACCCTTGACTTCTCTCTCTGCATATTCAGACAGCTGGATGCAGACACTGGGGATCCCCAGGTGTTGCACTCCAGCGATGCTGCAGAATGGCTCGCCATCACAGCACTGCCCTCTAGGTCTGCTGTTCTTCCAGTTCTTTGCCCTGTGCTGGTACCATCCCCCAACCAATTAAAGGGGCTAGAAGCATTAAAGTTAAGTAGATGTTTCTAATCTCCTTAGCAATCTATTAATTGTCAAGTACAATCAATTTTATACCTGAAATACTTCTTTTGTGGATCCCTGTCTAATGCTGCCCTAGTCTTTGTCTATGTGGAACTACACTCATTTTCTGTTTATTTTTCCACAGTTCACTTTTGCGCTACTTCCAAAGTGAGGTATCAGAGATGTAAGTGTGCATGCATCACTCCCTCAACTGGGAGCTTTGATAGCTCTCTCCTCCCTGCATGGCTTATAAGGACCATCATCGCCCAAACTGCTGACCTATTCTCAAGTATCATTTCTTGCTTCTTCCTGCTTCCCTCATTTTGTCCAGGTATCTACTTCATACCTCTTACTGTCGCCTCCTGCCAATTCTGCTGCCTACCAGCTCCTTCTGTGTCTCTCCTTGTGTTGACTCCAGGAGTCTGCTGTCATTTCCTCCCAGAGGACTTTGAGTCTAGCAGTGTGCTCAGAGCTCTTTCTCTGGCTCAAGCCTTCATTGCTTTTACATTGGAATGACCACCCCTGCATGATCTGCTTGGAGTTAGAGCTTGCCCTGGGCAGAGTCCTCCTCTTACTCATCTTTGCATCTATGGGGCTCTTTGGAATCTATTCAGAACTCTGTCGTGCATGTAACAGTCACACTGGCCAAGCTTGTTTCTGTCTCCCGGTCTCTGCATGAGCTATTCCATTGGCCTGGAGAGCCCTTTGTGAGATGGCTTCTTGTCAATAAATGTCATCCCAGCTATCATGCTGTCAGACAGGCCTTCTCTGAGCACTGCATTTCAGGCTTTGCACTCATTGGCACCTACCTTTTCTCTTGCATGCATGCATTTACCTATCACTCCCCAGCCCGCGCGCGCGCTCACACACACACACACACACACACACACACACACTGGAATGGGAGATCAGGGACCATTGTTCCTCTCCAAGGCTCTCATTGGATAGGAGAGGGCTCCTACAAGGCTCCCAATGAATGTACACTCAAGAAATACAAATGTTTATTAATTAAAATGAAATCACTTGTCTAGAATTTCATACATTGACCTAATCTAATGAAGTCTTATTTATGCTATCATGCTATTGAAAACAAAATACTCTCAGAGGATGGTCACTTCGGTGGGCAAATAAATTGATATATCTTTTCTGTATACTGTGTGAAAGGGGAATCTCATTTTACAGGTGATCACTTGTGAAGTGCATCTCAGTGCTATGTTCAAGGACATGCAGCATAGTTTATCATAGTGAAAACTTGGAAATAATTTAAGGTTCATTTATAATTGCTGTTATATATAATTGTTTAGTGTGAAATCTTAGAACATTTATCTTTTTATAAAATGAATTAGATGAGAGATGGTTTTGTTTTCTTTATGCTTTCTTAGGGTCTTTTAAGTGTGTACAATGAGCACATATTGTTTCATAAAAATGTTTTCAAGCAGAAAAATAAGTGCCCTCATTGACCTTCAGAATTAGAATTGTTGTGCTAATTATTTAAACAACAGTGCTATCTCCCAGCATATTTGGTTCTTTCTGCTTTGTTGGTAATGAGGCTTGAAATGCGGGTTTCTCTTTCTCCTTAGGTCTCCTGACCAGGCTTCGCCACCCGGTTGGGCTGATGGGTGGTTGTCTACCAGCCACGGCTGGCTTTAGCTATGGTAAGTGTGCACTGTGCTCTCCTAAGACTGCAGAGTCCTAAATCCATGCCAGAGACTCTTTACATTCTCAGCGCTTCAGAAATGTCTATCTAGAGACATTTCAAATTGAAATCCCCTGGTGTTTATATGGTCCATCTCATGCAGGCAATTCACACTTTGGAAAGAAATGTTTCTGTTTTACTTCGAATTTCATTATACAGTATGAAGATTCCTAATCTTCACCCTTTAGACAAACTACGATCCTTTTCACTTGGATTTTGAGTTACTGTGCTCTGGTTATAGTTTGTTGAGGAATGACCATTCTCCAAAAGAACCTACCAAAAATTGCAGCATATGGGCCTCTTTACCCTTCCTTCAAACAAAATTTGTGCTAAGGCGATTTGAGCCTCTTGTAATAAATGTGGTGTTTGCAAATCTGTGAGAACAATTAAAAGCAAGGGATCCTTATTTTAATTTGGTAAGATGTTGTTCCTTTAACTTCCTCTTACTAATGGGACTCAGATGACACAACTATACTGTGCAAAAAGTTACAGGAATTCAGGGTCCCATTACGTGAAGTGCGATGGAAGGGCGCTTTCAGGGTGTCATAGGTGCCTCTGTTATTGCTCTTGCACTATTGATACTGTATAATAATAAATAATCCTGCCAATAGAAATTTATTTAAGTTAAATGTGGTCCTCTTTAATTTCTTAAAAATACACTTCTTAATTTCTCTTAATTTATTTTGGCTATTTTTGACTGACTTATATAAATGTAACCAGACACTGTCTGCCTTCTTCTGGTCCTTGTCACATTTGTAATTTCACGCCGGGGTCTTGTGTGGTTGGCTCGTTTCATTGTGGTGTTGTGCCACACCGCAGGGCTTTCCCACAGTTGACTTACCCCTGCTCCCCTCAGTGGCCATTTGGATTGTTCTGGCTTTTTAGCTCTTACACATGATATTGTTACGAACATTTCTCTGTCTTTAGGTGAAATTAGGTGCACAGTTTGCCTTAACACACTTTGGAAGTGTGCTTGAGAATAGACTTTTAGACTTGCATGTCAGAATTCCCAACGCCCCATATTTCTACCCTTTCCAGTAGTCAGTGCTGCCATTTTTTAAAAAAAAACTTGTCAATTGTAGTTTAATTTTAAAATTTTTATTAGTACATGTTCGCAGCACATAATGATTATGTTCCCATGGGAAGTTGAGGTGTGTATATAACACCTCTTGATTCTTTTTAAGTCTTCCTTCCTCCCCTCCCTTCTGGCGAAAGAAGGAAGATGCTTTCTATTAGCACACATGTGTAGTAAATCGCAAATATATTGTTGCTGATTTATGTGCACCACACATCTTGTTTCCTTCTACGTCACCTTCCCTTTAATCCTTACCATTTACCAAAGATTTAGCTCCCTATTTTTATCATCTCTCTTTTACTTTATTCTTTGATTTTTTTATATATATATACTTTTGGTGTCTCCTAAAGAGAAACCAGATGATCTTCAAGCTTTTGTTTGATTACCTCACTAAACATCACAGGTTCAAGACACATCCATTTTCCTACAAATGCTGAAGTTTATCCCTCTTTATAGAGAAATAAGTCTCCACTGTGTACAACGCCACACTGTCCTTATCCACTAGTGCGCGGATGGATACATAGGCAGTTTCTGTGATCTAGCTCTTATGCACTGTGCTGCTACAAGCATGAGGATGCGTATATCATTGTAGTAGGATGTGTTTAATTCAGGAAGACGCCTAGAAGGAGAGTAGCTAGCTCAAATGCAGAGTCTACTTTGATTGTTTGTTTGTTTGTTTTTGGTCTTTTTGAGACAAGGTCTCCCTGTGCAGCTCAGGCTGGGCTTGAGCTCACTTTGTAGCACAGGCTGGACTTGAACTGGCAGCGATCCTCCTGCCTCAGACTCCCGAGTGCTGGGTTTCAGGCATGCGCCACCATGCCTGGCTTTCTACTTTTAAGTTTTGACTGACATCCATAGCAGTTGCGCTAGTTTGAGCTCTGACAAATGATGTAGAAGAATTTGTCTTTCCTCACAGCGCCATGAGTATTTGCTATTCTGATTATCTTATCCATATTTGAATTTATGTGAAGGATAGAAATTACTTTTGTTAATAATTTTAGTTTAGTTTTTTCAATTTAAGATAAAATATTTTATATCATTACAAAATCTTCATTTCTCCACTAAAGTTTTTATGAAGTTACCCACATTTAATACAGATTCCGTTTCTCTGAGCAATTCTTGAATTTTTCATGCTGGGAATTACCTGAGGTCTATGATTAAAAATATGTTCCTGGGGCATGTGGTAGCATCACAGAATCAGTAAGTCTAGGTGGGGCCTAATAATATTTTTATTTTTTATTTATTTATTTTTTCCATAATTTTATTGAGAAACAAATAGCAATGAGACAGTTTCAAACCAAATTGGTAGGACAGTTTCAATAATTAACACATTGCATACATTCTTCCTAGTCTTTAATTGCTGTACAAGATGCGGACATGATATCCTATTTACAAACACTATTAGAACAAATCCTTCTATTCATTAAGAGAATGTAATGATATAACTATCCTAGCTACTTTGAATACACAGATACAACATGGATATTCATCTGTATCCTCTTTTTTGATTTCCATTATTTGAATATTATAGGTGTGTTAACTCAGCAAAATATTCTAAAAGAGTCCAGTAGCCCATAATAGTAATGGGTCTTCTGCTTGACTGGCAATGTCAGAGACTTGACCTGAGTCCCCTACAGCTCAACATAACAGCATGGCTTTACTTCTTATACTTCGTTTTTATACTTTTCTGCTGGATGGCTAAAAACAAGATAAAGCAAGACCTATGCAACAAGAGTTGTAGCTTTTGGGTCTGATAGGGTCAATCAAATTCTCTCAGGATTTATCTGAGACCCTGCACCTCAGATTGTAGATCCTTTGTCAGTGTCAGCTATATTGCTTTTAAAACCTGCTGCTGCAAAAATATTTCGCGAAGACGCTAGCTGCATTTCCAGTTTTAACGGCATCATTCGAAATATCCAGCAGGTGGCAGTGTTGCCATAAACGGGGACTGCTAAAACAGATTTGATAATAGGGTTCAAAAGGGTGATTTTTAAAACAACTTTTTCTAGCTTTGCTTTTCTAGAATGAAAAATTTAGTAACCGTTCTCTGAGGATTCCACTTCAAACATACTCATATGTATGCGAGTTAGAGTCCAGACAGTGGACGTGTTTATTGGATAAATTGATTAGATTTTTCCTTAAGGAAAGGATGTATCAAGATAGAAAAGCTCTTCAGGGGGAGGGGGAGCGAGAACAGTACAAGGACAGAAAGAAAAGGGGCATCGCCTTGCAAGTTCTTACAGAGACAGACTCAGACTAAAGAAATACATATTTTAAGTCTCCAGTCTAATTTTGGTGGGATTAGTTCCGAAAGGCCCAGAAAAGTGTTTCATGGCATGTGTTTTGATATCTTCAGTTTTTTGTTCACCTCCAAGTAAGCAAAGTTTATATTTTAAGATCCAATTAAACCATAATGGGAGTATTAAAAATGCTTCCAGATCCTCTCTTCTGATTTGTATGTTTTTCACCTACATGTAAAATAAGAGGATAGGCCTAGATGATTTTTAAAAGCTTTTCTAATTCTAAAATGCTATTTTCCCCCCTCCTACATGTAACATGGATTTTCCCTTTTTCAGAAAAGTGGGAGATAAATCCATCTGAGCTGGCTTTTGTCAAGGAGATCGGGAGCGGCCAGTTTGGGGTGGTCCACTTAGGAGAATGGAGAGCCCAGGTCAGCGTCGCCATCAAGGCCATCAGCGAAGGCTCCATGTCTGAGGAAGATTTCATCGAAGAAGCCAAAGTGATGATGTGAGTATGAATGGACTGGATCAGCTGTGGGGCAGCGTGGACTCTGCAGGCAGCCACACCGGGGTCCTGTCACAGCCCTGCCAGCTACCTGTGGGACCAGGCAAATCATCTGACCTCTGTGTGGCCCGGCTGAGCCATGCACACTTCCAAGCCTCAGTGTCCTCATGTGTAAAACGGGGCCAACAGTACCTACTTCTCTGGGTCATTGTGTGAAATTAAATAAGAACAGGAAAAGCAAGTGTATTCTATTTAGTCACATTCATTCCATCCAATAACAGCCACTTAACAAGTACCTGTTTTTCTTTTACTAGAACCAAAAATGTTGATTTCATAGAAATAATAATACATAGCTCATCTTTTAAAAGGGAATCCCTTGGTGGTCAAAAGAGGACTTTATTTTTCAGTCAGGATGAAATATTTGCTCTCAAAGTATTTAAGAACTTTGGTTTTAAAAAAGAAGTAGCTCTTTGTAGACCATTCAGCACTGCTATTTAGTATCCATAATTTTCTGGGACAGCGTTGACTCCGTCTAGCCTGTGGTTGCGGCTCACAGCCGTGAGCCAGGTTGGTCCCAGACAGCTCAAATGACCGTTCTTCACAAGTTGCGTGCACACTTGGGGGAGCAGTGCACAGATGAAGAGGCCCCCTGGTTTTCTTTTGCTTCTGTCTGGTACCCAGAGTGATTTAGCTCTTTCCCAGTCTTGTAGATCCCTTCTGGAATGAAAACAAAATGAACCAGAAAACAGACAAACAGCCGCAGGCAGGGGTTAACCACCCCAGTGGGCCTGGAAGGCAGAGCAGTAAGTGTCTTTTGGGGTTCTTAGGCTCACACCCAAATGCCTTGTCAATATATCCCTTTTAGCTACCTATAAGAGAGTGCATTTTGGAGGCTGATGTTAAAAAAAGAAAAGAAAAGAAAAAGCACTTTTCCAAGGACATCAGCTCCCCAGAGGGGTTCCTGGGCCCAGGTTCTTCAAGTGCCTGCTCCTACCTTTGCTCTTGACACTGTACTCAAGCCATCGTGGCTCTGCTGTCCTCAGCGACCAATATGATCATCCTGAGTGCCACTTCAGTAGGTGTGATCGGGGGGCTGACATGTGTCTTCAGGACAGTTGGAGGTTTACTGGAGTCTCTGTCAAACAAGGAAGAATTAAAGCTGTCTGAGGTCAGGATGAGTGGATTCATGAAAGCTTTAGGCCTGGCTGGAAATTCAGGGAACTCTTGAAAGTGATGGACACTGTCTGTACATAGTGCGGGGAGTAGAGACAGCTCCTGGCCATTTACGGAGGCAAGAATGAGGTCAACAGCTTCAAACAGTGCAGACTGACGTGGTGTGTTCTTGAATTAGAACATATTTGACTTTTCCTGAGTTTTTAAAGGTGAGGCAGGAAGAGTCCCATTCTAATGGTTACTGTGAATATATTCATCTTTAAGTACAGATATGCACGGAGCTCTTTCTGCGAGAGGTACACAGCTGTACACATGAAACTTCTTTTTTAAAGGTACATGGTGTAGCCATCTCCTCCACCCTCGTTCAGTGCATACACCCACCCCCAGCACTTTCAGTTTGTGTTAATTCTGTCAGGGTACTTGTCACTACTCTGAAGCTTCATGTGGCTTTATTTTGTTTCATGTCTACTAGAATATGAATTCCATCACAACAGGCCATTTATGTCTCATTCAACATAGGGAATACCTAGAACTGTGCCTAGGTTGTAGCTGGTACAAAAAAAATACTTGAGGGTTATAGAATAAATTAATGAGTCTTCACCACAATTCTATGAGGCCTATCTTAATTTCATAGATAAGAAAAAGGAAATTTAAAGTTTTTAAAATTTGCCTATATTGTCCCACTATAGTTAAAGCAATAGTTAGAACTTTAATTGAAACCAGAACTCTGAACTGTTTGGCATAAGGACCACACTGCTTTTTTTTGTTTTTGTTTTTTATTGGCACTTTGGTTGGAACTCAGGGCCTTGTGCTTGCCAGGCTGACGCTTACGCTGCTGAGCCATCTCCCCAGCCCCAAGACCACAATGGCCAACAAACATCTCTTGATAAACTAATATCTTTTAATAGTTTCTACATGTACTAACTCAAATCACTGTCATTGTATGTAGTTTTTCCAATGTAGTGGAAGAAAAACTTCAGATATGCTCCATGCTGGGGGAAGTGAGGGATTCTGTCTATCACAGGAGTGGTTCTGAGAGATTTTTCCAGAGCACCTGCTCAAGGCTAGAAAAATGAAAGACAGTCATTAGAAATGCTCCAGAATTTCATTAAAAAAAGATGACAAGGATTAAAAAAAGAAGAAGAAATTGAAAAAGGAAGACAGGGCCAGCAAAATAGCTTAGTGGTCTAAAGCACCTGGGGACCTCGGCTGGTTCCCCGCACCACATCTGTGCCAGCTCCACCCTCAGGGCAGGCTTAGCCAGCACCTCCCCACCTGCCCCCCCCCCAAAAAGTTCTCACATCTTCAGGCCATCCAGATAGCTCAGAGGACTAAAGTGCCTGCTTAAGCAGATGCGTGGACCAGAGTTCGATCCCCAGCATGCCATGCCAGCCCTGACCCCAGGGCACACGGACATAGCCACTGAGATTGAACATGGTGGCACACACCTGAAATCCTAGCACTTGGGAGGCTGAAAAACAGAAGGATCACTGAGTCCAATTTGTGTAGTGAGACCCTATAGACCCTGTACTAAATATATTAAAAAAAAAAGAAAAGAAAAAGGAAGCCAGCCTGTCCATTCCACTTGGACGGCTTCTGCCATAACACCCTGAGATGCAGTGATTTTACTTTTCCCTCGGCTTGTCCTTGTCATTCACTCCTGAGGGGGATCTATGTGATACTTACCAGAAGTAAGGGGACCCTGTTTTATTAACCACACTGCACATGTGTAAGCAAGTGGAATTTAGCTGGCATAAGCTGCTTCTGGACACGCAGAGAACAGGGATGAACAAACTAAGCTCAGCACTTTTAGTCAGCGGTTCTAGACTCTCCCCAGCCAGTTAAACCTCTGAGTGACGCTTCATGCATCCTTTGTTTAAGCTCTGGGTTTGTGTCCCTGGATGAGTTCCTAATAGCAGTGCACCACTCGGCGATACATTGACCAATCCCATTTGCAGTAATATAAACGTTCCCAAGTGCAACTAATTTCTCCAGGAACTTCTTTGTATCTCTCAGTTCATTTTGTCTTTGTAGTAAAATATTTTAGTTTTAGAAAGATTTTGATATTTTATACTCATGTCAAACAGAATTGTATAAGATAAAAACTGAAACACCCCAGTCCTTCTTCCTTACTCCTCTGAAGGGATAATTGATTTTTTTTGAGGGGTAATGAATTAATAGTAAAGTTTTTTGGACTCATCCTCTATTATTTAAATTAAATAATGTTTTTTGAATGCTTTTTATTGACACTATCATAATGAGCATGATTTTAAACTCAGTACTCTCAGAAAATAGGCAGAGAGATTAATCTATTGTCTTTCCTAGCAGAGTAGTAGCCTAAGTTTTTATTCTTTTTGTCAGATCTTTAAGTAATTGTATTTAGCCTTAATTTCTGCCTAAAGAATCAAAATTTCAAGAAGGTAAATGAATAGAAGTATAGCTAAGGCCAGGAAGGAGGATTCAGAAGTGAGAAGGAAAGCCCTTCCAGAAGTGCTGAGGCCCACGTCTTGGCAGCTCTTTTGTTAATGTGAGGATTTAGAAGACAAGAAGCAGAGCAGCCCAAAGGCAGCTAGCTCAGAAAGAGATCCCAGCTTGCCTGGGTTTGTCTTAAACCATGCGTAAGTGTGGGTTGATTGCAAACTCTTGCTAGGACAGCCACAGCTAATTTCTCAGCCAGCCAAGATGGTGCACACCTATAATCCCAACACTCCAGAGGCTGAGGCAGGAGGGGAGTCATAATTTTGAGGTCAGGCTAGGCTAGATAGTGATCCAAGGTCAGCATGAACTACAGAGAAACCCTGTCTCAATCAATCAATCAATCAATCAATCAATCAATCAATATCACACAACTCTTGATTAGAAATAATTTATTTCTGCAAAATTTCATAGCATCTTTTTTAGTTTTGTTAAAGAAAATATAATACCATTTATATGACTCAGTTTTTTATTTTCCTTTTGGTTGGAGAGACAGTAGGGAATGGAACTCAGGGTTTCGCAAGTGCCAGGTGAGCACGCTGTCCCCAAGCTATATTCCCAGCTCCCAGTTTGTTGCATTCATTCATTCAACAAGTGTCCATTGCTGACTATATGCAGACACTACACTAAGTTCTACAAATGTGATGGCAAGTGAAACATATCTCTCCTAGTCTGAAAGAGTTTATCCATGCGTATGCTCTTGAGAAGATGGGAAAGAAGACTGGCAGCAAACACGTAATCAACATAATTTAAAAGAGAGATAGGCTTCAGGCTGCACAATAGAATGAATTGACAGACACAAGGACTGGGTTTGGGCTCAGGTAGATTGGGTTGTCAAAGAAGAGGGTAAGTACTTAACATGGTTTGTATTTTAGATCACACTGCCCACTCTGTGGAGGAGATTTTTGGGGCATCACAAGTGCAGGGGTACAGATGGAATATGATAGTGGGTGGGATGAGGGCAGAAATAGGAAGAAGAGAGGAGTTTCAGGATAGCTTTTTGAGATAAAGACATCAAGACTTATTAACAAATTACACATGGCAGGCCCTGGGAGGAGACTAGGGGAAGACAGATGCTTCCAAGGATAGGAAATGGTTCCCCTGACGGAGATGGAAAAAGACACTGTCTGCTTGGGATGTGCTGAATGTGAGAGGCCTAGCAGGTGGCCCAGGGTGACCAAGTGGCCAAGTAAATGCACAAGTCTGGAGTTTAGGAGAAAGGTTGAAGTGAAAGGTATTGATTTAAGAGTGATCTGCAGAGATGATATTTAAAACTGTGAAACTTGATTCAACCACTAAGAGAAGGGGATAATTAGAAAAGGACAACAGGAGAAGCCAAAGATATGAAAATATTTAAATAATAAGCATGCCCTACAGTGAATTATATCTGCTTCTTTAAAAGTATAAAGTTACAGCTAAGAAGAATGCACTTGTTCAAGGGATGGGGAAATCGCTTGGCAGTCTAAGCACTTGTCTGGCAAGCGCAAGTACACTAGTTCAATCCTGGGTATCACATGTTGTGCCAGCCCCTGAACGCTGGGAAACCTGGTGTGGTGGCACATCCCTGTAATCCCAGCACTAGGAGGCTGAGGCAGGAGGATAACTGTGAGTCCATGCTGCATAATGAGACCCTGTATCAATAAATAATAATAAAATTTAAAAAATTAAATGCACTTTTTCTATCCCCCCATGAGAAATATGTGTCTTCTTTGTTTGGCTAGACCCCACTTGCAGGGTTTTTTTTTTTTTTTGCCTAATTTCTAATAAAAGTTTGATTTCTGATAGATTTTTGTCAGTGATTTTTATCAGTGTTCTAATTCTGAAATGTTTGATGTGAGTCCCATCCTGCTGATTTCTTGTTTTTATCTTTTTTTTTTTCCTTTTCCTTTCTCTTTTCCTTGCCCTTTCTCTAGTTCTTTTTTCCTTTTGAACAATTTCTCCCTATTTTACAATGTCTACTGTACACTTTTTTCCTTATGTGCTCTTTCTGTTTGTCATACCAGGAAGACTTCCACATAGTATCATGCCACCTGAAAATGATAATAACTGAATTTTGTCCTTTCCTATCATTATTCCTTTTCTTTTTCTTGTCTAATTACTCTGGCTATTTTTCCCAGAACTATATTGAATAGGAGTGATGATAGTGGACATATTGGTCTTATTCCTCATTTTGGAGTGAAAGTTCTGTTTCTAACTATTTAGTATGATGTTGGCTGTTGGCTTCTCATAGATGGCTTTTATCTGGTTGAGATAAAGACCCTCTATTCCAGTCCTCTGTGGGGTTTTTACCATGAATGGGACTTTGTCAAATACTTTTCCTACATCTATTGAAATGAACATGTGAATATTCTCTTTGACTCAGTTGATATGGTATATTACATTTATTGACTTGCATGTGTTGAACTAGCCCAACAGTAGGGGCATTTAGTTATACCTTTGCAAAGTTAGTATCTGGAGACACAAGGTTGTCTAGTGACTAACAGCTGAAATTGCCCAGACAGGGTGTTTTTCTCAAGACTGAGGTGGCTTGACTGCTTTAGGCACTCTGGCCTTGTCCTGTGCTCCCATGTATGATCAATTTTCAGCTTCAGCGGCTCCTAACAATTATAAACATTAACTTGAAATTGTTTTCCATGGTAACCAGTTAGCATAAAAGGGTGAGTGAAAGAGTGAGTGTTATGTGCCACACATGAGACAATAAGTTTTTGAAGTTTAGACTCAAAAGCCCTAAGGATTCTTGTTTGTCTGTTTCGTTTTGTTTTGTTTTGAGATAAGGCCTCTATGCAGTTTTGAAGACTGGCCTTGAGCTCATTATGTAGCCCGGGCTGGCCGCAAACTTGCAGCAGTGCTTTTGCTTTAGCCTCCTGAGTGTGCTGCCGCAGCTGTGGCTCTAGGCATTTAACAGGCAGAATTCAAGGAAGTGTGTGTGTGTGTGTGTGTGTGTGTGTGTGTGTGTGTGTGTGTGTGTGATTACTAAGTACACACCAGGATTTTATGTTGGTAAATGTTTTCCAGTCTCTAACTATATCTAAGATTTTTATTTTTAATGGCTTTACACTTTAGAGTTTATTTATTTTTTTTACGGCCACTGATCAGTCCTTTCTCCTGCCTGCTGGCTCAGGGTTTTCCTTTTGAGTGGAAGGTTGGAATTCAAGGGGCAGAACTCTCAGTCTTGTGCCTATATAGGCAGTAATGAGGCAGAAAAAGGCATACAAAACTAAGCTGAGAAAGCCAGAATGTTGACAAGAAGAAGATGGGGCATAGATATTTTGCATTGACAATGACATTGAAAATATTCTACTCCTGCCTTCACTTTCTCAGTGCATAATGTGGAAAGGAAAATGCTTTCTCTGTGGTCTGGTTGATCCTTATCTTGATAATGAAAATGATGCATAGATGCTACATATTACCATTGGAGTTCAAATGCTTTTCAATGCAAATATCTTCCTTCTACAGGAAATTGTCACATCCAAGGCTAGTTCAGCTCTATGGGGTGTGTACACAGCAGAAGCCCCTTTATATCGTGACAGAGTTCCTGGAGAATGGGTGTCTGCTCAACTACCTCAGGGAGAGAAGAGGAAAGCTTGGGAAGGAAATGCTGCTGAGTGTGTGCCAGGATGTGTGTGAAGGAATGGAATATCTGGAGAGGAACTGCTGTATTCACAGAGATTTAGTAAGTATGGTGCACATGAAGTTGTTATTCTACATAGTATACCTATATTTGGAAGGAGATCACAATTACTTCAATACTTGGAAGAATATATCCTTTGGCTTAATATTTAAACATTTCACTATTGATGCAAAATATTTTTTTATTTTTTTCCTTGAATCTTTTTTATTGGTACATTTTATATATACATAGTGATAGCATTCATCATAGGGGAATTGTACCTTGCTTCAAACAATAGTTTCAAGCATTTTTTTAAAAGATTTAAAATTTCTGAATTTAGTTCAACTTATACCACATTTCCAAGAAAACTGAACCTTTTGCAAAGACATTTAAATAAAATCATACCAATATGCACAAAAATGAAATTGTCCAAAACTTCTTGTAAAGAAAAAAATCATTAAAGCATATACATAAAAATATTAGCTATGGAAGAACAAAATTAAATAGCATGTTATTCCACATTAGAAAGAAAAAAGAAGGACCAAGCGTGTAAGAAACTAGATTAAAGGACTGAAAGGAAAGATCTGTTCTTTTTGAATTTCATACTTAGCAAATATACCTTTGAAAACTAAAAGTAAGATTTTCTAGTTATACAAACTTGCAATATTTTAATACCTCCAGAAGTAGCATATAGGAAATAACAAAGAGCATAATTCAAAAGGCAAGAGAAGTTGCAGTATGCTCCTGGATGAACAATAAAGAGCTCTCAATATGATAGTTATGCAGGACTATATAAAAGATATATTAGATGAACCCTTATTTAAAGGTCATGATGCAAAACATTTTGTAAAGTGAAAGTTTACTTTAACTTGCCCACTGATGCTCTTTTGTAAATACTCCTTAAAATAAATAACCACCTAGCTCATTAACTAAAAATGCTGTACTTTTCTTCTCTTCTTTAATCCCTTCTTCAGTCTTTCTTCTTTCCTTCCCTCTTTTCCCCTTCTTACTATTATTCAGACATGTGCCAAGTGTTTAGAGTAAGCTGAGCACTCTGCTAGGCACTGGAGAGAGAGCCAACAGGTTCCTGCATCTCCTACCCAGGGCTGCAATTGGCCCTGCATGCAAGTGCTTTGACAGTATTACAAGAACGTGACTACATTATTGAGAAGACTACAAAACTTAAATCACCCTGTTCTGCAGGGCTTAGAAGTCCCTATTTAAAAATGACTGTCTTGCACCAAGAGAAATGCCAATACCATGACTTCCTTGTTTTGCTACTTTTCCTTGAATAACGTGTTCTCTCCAGGCAGCATTTATTCAGGATATTGGTACTAGTCCTCTGCACCTGTCCATGTATTATTTCTAAATTTTAAAATTGATTCAAATGAGAATCTTGGAATACTCTAAGAAATCCCTGATCCTGGCACTTGGAAGTAATCTCGCGTTGCTGTTATACACAGCCCACAGAGAGCGTATTACAGTACTTGTCATTCAGACTGCCATATTATGGAGGGTGAAAGGAAGCATAGTTACATGGGAACACATGCTCCCCACGGCTTAGAATCACAGTACCATTTATTACTCATCTGATGTTGTATATGTGCTTCATGAAGCCTGGATTCTACATGGCTGAGACTTCTGAGGTCGAGCTCAGTGTGACAGAAACACAAGTTGCAGAGCAAAGGTTCTCAAACTTCAAACTTAGCTGTGCATTAGAATCCCTTGAGAGCTCTGAGAAAAATCACCGTACCAGGCCGCTCCACAGACCAACTCAGTGCGAGCCTCTGGGGGTGGTAGCAAGGAATCACTGTATTTTGCAAGTTCCCCTGGTGAGTTCTGTGATGGAAGCTGAGAAGCGCTGCTCTAGGGTTAGATGCTCTCAGTTCTTATCTCTATTTTCTACTAGCAGTGTGGCCCTGGGTAGCCTAGCTAACCAGTGAAGTAGTGCTAACTGTAACATTTCCCTCCTATGGGTCTGTTAGGAGAGATTATATGAATTGCTGTGTAATTCATGTAGTACTTGAATGCATCCATGCCTGGCCCATAGGAGAGCTCTAGCATGCCAACTGTTGTCACTAGAGCTAAGCCACCATGTTTCATTCCTCATGGCACATTGCTCAGGACCCAGCACACAGGAGTAATCGCACAGAATTGGAATGGATGGAAATCATCAATTCCACCTAGCTCACTTTCCTGGCCTCTTCATGTTTATCTTTCCCACTAAGGATTATAACTCAAACCCTAGCCATGTAGCACTTCTACTGGCTCCTGGTGGCTTCTCACTGATCCCCCTGTCCTTGGTTCTTCCTTGATCACTCATTTTCTTTGTGTTCTATTTCATTTACTTTCATGTCAGGTAAAATATGTGAAATAACAAAGGAGCCTTTCTCCTGTCAAGAGCCTCCCAGTGCTGTCACTTTGGGGTCACTTCTGGCATCTTGGAAGCAGGTCCCCCTGGTTTACAATTTCAGTTTCTTGCTTTTGTTACTGGACTCACTGAACCACAAATGCACTACGAAGAGAAAAATTCTATTGCACCATTCACCTCTGTGAGGCTAATAACCAAATCAATGATTTTCTTGACTAATTTGCTAAAAATAGACCGTTTTGGTACTAAATACATTATAATACATTGCTTCTGAACTAGATAGTACTACGCTTGGTTCACTGGGCTAATTTTAAGAAATATGAAGTTATCACTATAGTTATATTTCATAAATGTAAGTTTAACAAATTATAATAACTTCAATTATAATCCCTGCTGGAGATTCCAAAGGTATGAAATGACTGTGCTTTGTCTCATGTATATTATTGTGCTTCATTTATGTCATGATTTGTAGCTTGTCCTCTGTTAGATTGAGTTCATTCCCGTCTTTATCAGGACCTTTCTTGATAAAGACTAAATACTTTTGAGACTATGTGTAAAAGTAAAAGTGTTACCATTTTCGTGGTTTATTGAAGAATCATGAGAATTCATTGCATAAGGGCAAGCGATTGAATCACGCATACCGTTGGCAGCAATCACCATCCAAACAGCAAGGCTGTCTGCCTGGACATGGTAGGCGGCTCAAGCAAACAAGCCAAGTGGGAGGAGAAACTTTTGAAAGAAAAACTTGTAACCTCAGTTGGATTATGTTTTCTTCTTTCTACAGGCAGCAAGGAATTGTTTGGTTAGTTCTACGTGCATAGTAAAAATTTCAGACTTTGGCATGACAAGGTATGTGCTGTGCATAATATCTATATATGTATTTTATTTACTCATAAGAAGGAATCTCACATTTGTCTGCCAATAAACTGCTCTGCTTTTATACTGTGGGAAGGGTTGGCTAGATTGACCTGTGTGGATTTCAGCTCATGTGCCAATTTTAGCAGTACCTGCTTATCGTTGGCTATTCTTTTTATCTTCCTTTGGGTCATTATTAAGAAAACTATGGTAGTTCTTAAAGATGAAAAGAATTTCCCAATCTATTCATATGTTTAAGATTAAGAAAAGTGCTTTTCTTGTAAGTATGCATTTTTGAAAGAAAAGGAAAACAATCAGATTTTTCTAGATCACCATCAAACACTTCTATCATTAAATTTAGTAGTTTAAGTCCAAAACTGAAGTGTGAAATATCTAGCCATCTGTTTGTACAACTTGAAGTTGATATTTTGAGCCCTCTTTTCTGGGGTGCTAGCAATTTAGCAGCACACACTCAGGATTTCTCCTTGACTTTCCTCAGCATCAAAGGCCCAGTCTCTCCCGGGGCCACATCCTGAAAAGGTGCTGGCTTGCCTGGCCCTGCTGCTGTCTCTGCACTGCAGCATCATGGCAGTCACTGTCCTTCTGTCTTAGCTGTGGCTGTCCGACCACCCAGGTGACTACAGCTGCTTCAGAGCTGACATTCTCTATGACCAGGAACTCCACGGGGCTAGGGCTGCACTGACCTAGGCATGTCCACAGTCATTTTGTTTGTTTGTTTGGACTCTTTCTATCTTCCTGGGGCCTCCACTGGAAAGAGAGCACATATCCTGCTTCAATATTAAGTCCTGCGAACCTCATGTGTAGTTGGGAAATTCCTTCCCTGCTGTGTGTCCCAAACAGCTCTTAAAGGGGATAAGGTCCAAGATCTTAAGCCAATAGTCCCCCAGTGTCTAATACTCCTCCCCATTCCTTTCTGTTTCCCCAGTCCTACTAACTCAAGGGAACTTTTTCCAGACAGATGGGTGGTAGTGGTGAGATTTCACTCTCATTCATGAATCATTTTTCCAAATAACTTGTTAATAATTGAACTCTTCTCTCAAAAGTCTATACTTTGGAAACTTCAAATCTATGGAAAATAACTTTCTCCTTTTGTTCTCTATTATTTATTTATTTTTATCTTCAAGTAAGTAGTTTGATCTTGGACTCAATAAAGGAGGGTGTAAAGATAGAATAAGGTGTTTTCATAAAGTATATGGAGACAACATTACAAAATAATTTAAGAATATTTTATTGTACACTCAAGGGACATTTAGCTCACATTAGGTATTGCCTGGCCTCTCCAGATTCTCGCACTAGCCTAGTCCTTACATACAATTCTCAACAAATAGAGGGGATTTAACACTTTTTGTTGTTTGAAAGAAGATTGTAGTTATTCCCTATTTCTTTTTACACAGGGCCATTTTAATACATTATGGAATTTTTTTCACATCTACTATATGTGTTAATATATTTTTATCCTCTTTTGTGTCCCACAAACTATAAGCACATGAAAGAAAACATGAAGTCTAACTTTGAATTCACTCTTTTCTAATGTAAGAAGAGCACTTTTTAAATCATAGTTGTTAGAGCATACATGATTCTTCACAGAGCTAAAGATGTATCATAAAGAACAGAAACCATGTACCATATTTTGGCTTCATGAATTATTACATTTTTCAGAGACCCAGTGAAGTTAAACATGATGGAACTTACTTGGGGGGAAACACTATATGGGATGATTTTACAATTTGCTAACAAGAGAAGAAGGTGTACAGAACCATTCTGGGGTAAAATACTCTGTCGTTTAGCAACTCATAGTTAAAAAGGATTTCAAATAAATAAGAGTAAGAGATGAGCAATACAATGTGCTTTGAATCTGATGACTGTAGGTATGTCTTAGATGATGAATACATCAGTTCTTCTGGAGCCAAGTTCCCAATCAAATGGTCCCCTCCTGAAGTTTTTCACTTCAATAAATACAGTAGTAAATCTGATGTCTGGTCATTTGGTAAGTACATTTGATGGAACTTGATTTAATATAATGGATAATAGTTCTGTTTAACTTTGATTTCTTAATATAGCATTTTGATAATGTCTTGTATCTGTGCTTTCCTTTGTTTTCTAGTCATATCCAGATAGTTCCCCCCCCCAGTGGGTGTTATAAAAGGTCTGTCTTTGAATCTTTTCCTTCATGAATTAGCACTTTCTATAAAGCCATAACAGTGTATTGACCGAGAAAGCCAAGTTTTCCACATCACTGACTTGATAGAAAATTATCTTCTCATCGGACTAAACAGCCTGCTGAGACAAGTGCAGGGACTGGGGTTCGATCCCTGGTACCACAAGCCATGCTAAGCTGGCCATTGAGACTGGCATGGTGGTGCATGCCTGTAATCCCAGGGCTGGGTAGGCTGAAAACAGGAGGATCACTGAGTCCAAGCTGTGTAGTGAGACTCTGTACCAAATATATAAAAAAATAAATGAATAAATAAATAAATAAAATAAGCTTGTTTATGTAAAAAATTATCTTAAGGCCTTTAACTGAATTTCAAATGTATTTAATAAATTTTAATGGCTAACCAAGCAGCTTAATTATTTTCAACTGTTCAATTGATAACATAAATGTAAGGCATAAATTTTAGAAAATGGTACTACCTCACTGTATTACCTTCAAGTTTTATGAGATATGAATATAGCCTTCCTTAGACTCTGTTTACTGATAGTTATACTGACTTGTGTTCTTCATTGAGAAAAAGACACTGGAGGTACACGTCCAATGCAGTCTGCTCTTTGAGTTGATTTTCGAAGTATGGCAGTAAATTTGCAGTTTGTATATTCACTTTTACCCAGACCTTCTTAAGTGGCTCTGGGTTTGCATAGAATTCTGGCCCTCAGAAGGATGTGAACTTTATTGTCTACAGTAAAGTTAAGCTTGTATTTACCTCATTGGCTCTGTACTAATGTAGGCCAGTCTTATGTAGAAGTCATAAGGCCACATCGTAGAGACTTATGGACAGCAGTATAAGGCCCTCCCTTGGGGGCTGCAGAATGAATGGAGCTCACTGAGTTTCATTTATCTCTCTTCCTACCTAGACAGTGAGCTTCTTGATTGAATGGACTGGTCACATTGCCAAGGAATCCTCTGGCCCTAGATAAGACTTGCTTTTCGTCTAGTGAATATTTGTAGAACAGGTGAATAGTTAAATAAACTCTCTATATATATATATTATTTTTTAAAGAGAGTACAAAATAGTCTTAAAACAGAAAAATTACAACTGATGCAGAATTTCACTTAACAAAATAATATGAATTTCATGGTATTTGTCGTAATACATAGTGTTGTCTTCCAACTATTATTCATATTACAGATACATGCAGGCGAAATTGGAAAAAGAAGAAATATATAAGAAATTAAGAACAAAAAGGGACAAATAATTGAAAAAAGGAGACAAAACAAATTAAGCATTATCTGGCTCTTTCCATAGACCAGCAGAAATCCACAGTAGAGTTGTCCAAACCATCCTGCCAAGATACATAGATATATCTTTCCCCCCTCCCCTCCTGTCCTTCTCCTCAACTCAGTAACTCTTTCCTTTTGAATAAGTGCATTCCCCTTTCTTTGTATCTACTGTACCCTTCAGATTCCATTTTTTTGTTTTAGGTTCTCACACTAAGGAGACAATACAATGTTTACACATGTGGATCCGATTTATTTCACTCAAGAGAATGTTCTGCAGTTGCATCCATTTACTGACAAAAAGCCTCAAATTTATCCTATTTTATGGCTGAGTAATACTCAATTATGAAAACTGCCACATCTTCTTTATCCATTCCTCAGTTGATGGGCATCTGGGTTGGTTCCAGGATTTAGCTTTGACAAGTTATGCTGCTATAAACATGGCTGCACATATATTGCTGTGGCATGATGTTTTCTGTTCTTCTGCTAGTACTTCTATGAATAGTCTTTTTATTTTGTGCTGTCTCCTGCCATTTCATCGACACCTTTTATTCTTATATTATTTTTATTTGTGTCATCTTATAGCTGCTGAATTGTTATTTCCTGGTTCCTTGTTGTTTTTAAGGGATCTTTTCTTTTATTAGCTGCACTGTTTTCTTCGAGGTCTGAAAGTCTATCTTCAGTTTCATTCAAGTAGTTTTGCCAGCTTTGAATGGAATTCTTAATTTCCTAGATATCTGTTTGAATCTGCTTCATGCATTTTAATTCTTTCCTGTATTGTTCATTCAGTGCTTCTATCATTTTTCTATTCTCCTATATATATTTTTAAATCCATGTCTTCTTTATCTGTGCTGAGCAATTTTTTCATGATTGTTGTCATTTCTTCTTTCTTTCTGTTTTTTGGTATTTTTAAATGTATTTTAGTACAAAGTTTACAGGGTCTCACTACGTAGATCAGACTTGCAGTGATCCTCCTGTTTACAGCCTCCCAAGTGCTGGGATTACAGGTGTGCTCCACCACGCCCAATCTCAGTTGCCAACTCAGTGCACCCTGGGGGCAGGGCCAGCATGGTAGGCCTGGGGATTGAACTGCTGGCCCCTGCATCTGCCTGAGCAGGCACTTTAATCTGCTGAGCTATTTGGCTGGCCCTCTTTTTTGACCTGGGAGATTATTTCTGATCTCATTTCTGCCGAGTCTGATGGACTTATTGCTTTACTTTAGTTGCTATCATTTCAGAAATTTCATGTTCCAAGTTCTTATATGTCTTTGTCTCCTGGATTTGTTCTGGGTTGGCTGGAGGACTGAGACTGCTTTTTGCTCCTGTGTTTCAGCATTTTTGAAGCTTTCACCAATCATCCAGAGTTAGCATTGATGGGAGAGTGGTGGGACATAGACCAGTAAGGTTTCTGGTACAGTGGGGAGCAGAGTAGGCCCCACCAAGTCTCTCACTACTAGTCAGGGGCAACTGGTTGATGCTCAACAAAGCTTCAGTGTTGGTGGTGGGCTTGCGCTGGATTCACCAGGATCCCATGGGCTACCCAGAAGCCTCCTAAGGCTTTGAAGGTTGGACTAGTACCAGCAAAGCTCCACTGCTTTGTACTGGGAGCCAATGGACCTAGCTCACCAGAGTCCTGTAGGGCCATCCAGACTCCTTTTATGTTCTTAAATGGTTGGGCCAGGCACCGGGAAGTTCTGAGACTGTGCACACTGGGCCCACAGATTGTAGTGCTCCAGAGTCCTGTGGGCAATTTTTAAGTTCTTAAAGGAGTTACAATAATCAATCACCCCTCAATTATTGAATACGTACTTCTATATAGGGTCCCTGCCACATAGGCCAGGGCTCTGCTTAGTAGCTGTATCTTTCAGTGGAAAAAGGTGGATAGGTACTGTCTACTGGCTGGGATTCTCTTGGTTTTAACAGGCAACAGAGTCTCCGACAAATCCATCATTTTCTGTGCAATGGCAGGATGGTTATGGATGTCAGGGTGTGGGTACATGAGCAGTACTGAGGAATGAAAATACTACCAGCATTTTCACCCAGAAAGGAGGCCTTTAAGACCAACCCACAAACAAAGGCATGTTGTTGCTGGGATTATTTTCAAGTCCCAGGCCCCTCAAGTCTCAGGTGTGCAGTCTGCTTCCCGGCTAGAACGCTGTGCAATGACAACTCTGTGCTGGAGGAAAAAATAATGCTTTATAATGTGAAGCAAACAGTTCTTTCAGTTTCAGGTAAGCATTTCTCTCTAATCCCTCATTTTAATGCATTTTGTTTGTAGGCGTTTTAATGTGGGAGGTTTTTACAGAAGGAAAAATGCCTTTTGAAAACAAGTCAAACTTCGAAGTTGTGGAAGCTATTTCGAAAGGTTTCCGGCTCTATCGCCCTCACTTGGCACCCATGTGCGTCTACGAAGCCATGTACAGATGCTGGCACGAAGTAAGTGTCATCGCCTTTCCCTGGCAGCAGTGCCAGCCTCTGAGAGCAGACCTGATTGTCACTAATGCTTCCCAGGCTTCTAACAGCACAAGGCGCGTCCCTCCTTGCTAATGGCCCTGAGAGCCAGGAGCACTATTTGTGTTCAAAACTCCCAGGACAGTCCTGGGTCCATTCTGGTTTTAACAATGGGCTTTCAGCTAAGTTTTCCAAGTCTTACCTGAGATTGGTCCTCGCAGAAATTCCTAGATATTTTATCACCTTTAGGAACTGATCAGTAGAACCAAGGGCAGAAACAGGTCTGTTCAACTTCCACAATGAAAAAAAAAAAGGATGGTGTTTTTATTTGTTTCATTCCACTTTCATTTGCCTTGCATTTCAGGGCTAAAAGTAATGAGCTTCATCTGTCTGTGCCCTTTAACACTCTTGGTAGAAAGTTAAAGCAGGATAGAAATTAAGGTGGAATGTATGCCAGCAGGCCCCCTCAGGAAATCATTTCATAGGAGCCCAGTTTCTTCTTTGTTGAAAGGCAAAGCTTACAAATGAAGCCTGGAAGTTTCTTCCCACCTCTGCTTGTTCTGGGCACTGACCCCCCAAACTCTTCCTCTTTTTAGACTCCTTTGTTATTTCTTAAGAAATTTTATTTTTAAAGAGCAGAATATATTTATTCAGGAAAAACAACTTTCTGTCCAAGAGAGGGACATAAGGAGACCCTAGTGGGTTGCCAAGGAACCAGGTTTCTAGGTTTTTTTTTTTTTTTTTTTCCGGAACTGGGGGTTGAACTCAGGCCCTTGTGCTTGCCAGGGAAGTGCTTATTCCACTGAGCCATATCCCGGGCCCCTTCTAGGGATTTTTATAGAGCAAAACCATGAGGTGAGGTGGATCTAAAGTGGGAAACTTGGGAACTCATTAGGTGGGCATGAGGTGGGACAAAACTATGGTCAACCAATAAGATTACAAGCTTCATTGCTCAGGTAATTGATTAAATTGGGTCAAATCAAGTCACTTAGCAAGTGGGCAGGAATACAGAACAGGGACTTTTCTTGTGGGGGCTGGATTAGTGACTCTTTCTGGCCTTTTCAAAGTGATTGATACCTACATCAAATATTAACCCCTTAGTGCCTGCTCCAACCCTGGGGTGTGCTGAGATGGCAAATGAGACTGCGAGTGGTGGTGCACACCTATAATCCCAGTGCTTGGGAGGCTGAAAACAGGAGGATCACTACAAGTCCATCTATGTAGTGAGACCCTGTAGACCCTGTACTAAAAGCATTAAAAAAAAAAAAAAAAAAGGAACATCAATCCCTTAAGTCCATCCCTCTTCGTATGCTTTTGTCTTGAGGATTGGCCCATTAAATTTTATTTTATTTATTTATTATTTATTTATTTGTATTTTAGGGAAGGGTCTAGAGGGTGTTTAGGGTTTCACTGCTAGATCAGACTCATAGAAATCTCCTGTTTACAGCCTCCCAAGAGCTGAGATTACAGGCATGCACCACCACGCCCAGCCTCAAGTGCTCTCTCAGCATGCCCCGGGGGAGGGGCTGGCACGGCAGGCCTGGGGATTGAACCCCCGGCCCCTGTGCCTGTTTGCAGGTGTTTTAATCCACTGAGCTATTTGGCTGGCCTTAAATTTTATTTTAAAGAGAAAAGAAAACAAAACTTCAAAACAAGATAATAGGAGAGTAACAATGGTTAATACACTATATACTGTTATTGTTGATCTTTTTATTTATTTTTAGAGAAATAAAAATAATTCAAAAAATTTAGAAACAATACAGAATTTCACTAAACAAAATGACAGAAATTCAACAACAGTTGTTAGATTGCAGATTGTTGTCTTCAAATTAATTAATTGTTCAGATTACCAAATATAAGTGTAAAATTGATTAAAAAATTAAAAAGAAGAGAGAAAAGAAATTTAAGCATTAAACTGCTCCTTTCGGTAGACCAGCTGAAATAAGGAGTAGAGTTAGCTAAGCTATCCTATGTCTATACGTATATATTTATTTTCCCTTCTTTCTTTTCTCCTTTCCCAAATCCCAGTTTCTTTTTCCTTTTGAGCAATTTCTTCCCATTTTACAATAGTGACAGCATCTTTTGAATCTTCTTTGCTCTTTCAGCTTCTCAAGTTAAGGAGACAATACAATGTTTACACATGTGAGTCCAGTTGATTTCACTTATGAGCATAGTCTCAAGTTGCATCCAAATTACCTATGAAAGTCTCCATTTTATCCTTATTTATGCCTGAGTAGTACTGCATTATATAAAAAGGCCACAACTTTTTATCTATTCCTTGGTTGGTGGGCATTTAGGCTTTTTTTTTTTTTTCCAAGATCTATCTATTACAAATTGTGCTGCTTTGAACAGGGGTGTCCTGTATTTTTGAGAGCTGTTCTTCATAGCCGTAGCTTAGAAAAGTCCATGGTTCTAAAAGGAGTTTCCTCTCACCTAAACAAAATCATTTGATTTATAATCCATAAATAATGGAAAAGTCAGCATTTCAAGTGATGTGATTGCTCATGTTCCAGACAACCATTAAGTTTATAAAGATTCCCAATATAGGAATGTATTTTATGTATGATTAATTTCTCCACAAAGAATCTTGAAAGAGAGAAAAAAAGTTAAATAAGTGGTTAGTAATAACAGTTGTAAGAATGTCTTTGTAATAACAATGTAGATAGCTCAGGAGGATACACACAGTACAATGGTTTGGTTTGCAATTTTTCAGGTTTACAGTGGCTTGAGAATGATACATTCTCAGTAGAAGCCGTACTTTGAGCTTTGATTTTTTTCCTAGCAGTAGGAGTTAGGCTCCTCTCTCCAGTGCTGGGCAGAGGATGCTAGGCACAGCTCCCAGCCAGCCACATGATCAGGAAGATAACCAGCCAATACTCTAAGAATGCTGTGTTGATAAGCTGTGATGGTTGTTATGATAGGTGTATTAATGTTTTAATTTTTTAAATCTTTATTTATTTATTTATTTGTTTGGTACAGGGACTCACTACACAGGTCAGATTCAGGGTGACCCTCCTCTCTCAGCCTCCCCCGCACGCTTGCTGGAATTACAGGTGTGCACCACCATGCCATATTTTGGTGGCCTGCACGGTGTGCCCCAGGTTCTAGGGCCAGCACAGCATGCGGTACCAGGGATCAGACCTGGGTCCTTGCACTTGTTGGATAGACACTTAGATCACCAAACTATCTCCCTAGCCCAGTCGATCTCCTTTTTATTACTGAAAAGTGATCAGACACTTAGATCACCAAACTATCTCCCCAGCCCAGTTGATCTTTTTATTACTGAAAAGTGATTCCCTTCCCCTCCTCCCTCTTCTCTCCATCTCTTAAATTGAGGAGCAACTTTATATTATTGTTTATGAAACAATATACATGTACATGCTCACTGATACTGAGATTTTATCTCAGTGTCTGTGGATATGAGACAGAGAGGCGGAAGGCATACATAGGACATTCACAGAAACACTAAGTAAACAATCTTAGTTTCAAGTTGCAAAGTTGATTAAAACAATGTTTTGGTTATATTAATTTACTTGCTTGCAAAAGTTGATTTTGCCTGTGACTCTTCCTGAAGTGCTTAGCTGTCACTAGTCTGGAATGTGATTAGGTTCCCACTAAGAGACGCATTTCATAACTTGTACCTGGAGAACTTCAGCTTCATGCAAAGTTCCCCAGCTCAGGCTTGGAGTCCTATGGAGGATGCGTGCCTGAGCTCACATCATCTGCTCTGTCCTTTCCATCGCTACTCCACAAGGCATCTTAAAAGACAGAGAAAAAAGTTAAGGGGAGGAGGGTATATGACCTCACATGTCAAATACTCAGATGGACCTTTGGCAAGAAGGAGCTTTCTGCGGTGATGGAAACATTTATACTCTGCTGCTCCAGGAGCTAGCTCCGTCTCTCTTTTGAGGATAGGAAACATGGCTAATGTGACTAAAGAACTCACTTTAAATATTTAGTTGTAATAAATTTCAGTGAGCATCTGTGGCTAGTGTTCAAAGTTTGGGCCATTCCAATTTTGTAGTGCTCTATCACATTACATTTTCACACTCACATTTCACTGCCTCTTTGTCGGCCCAGATGTCTTTCTCTTGCTTCAGGACAATCAGCCTGCAACCCGGTGTCCACCAGCCCACCCTGTTCCCTGGCCTCTGAGTGAGCTGGAAGTGGAGCTGATCACCTGTATTTCCCTTTTCCAGAGCCCTCAAGGCCGCCCGACATTCAGCGAACTGCTGCGGGGTCTCTCAGAGATCGCAGAAACCTGGTGACCTAGAGAGGAGCGCCAAGCCCCAGGAGACTGTGGGTTGGGTGGCTGCTGAGGAATAGCTTCTTCTGGAGTCAGTCTTCTTGGAATCAGTACAGAGATCATAGGTTTTCAAACTGTAAATTTGAGAATATTCTGGCAATAGTTTTTCTGCATGTGTGAGAGGAATTTCTAAACACGTATCTTTCTGTAATGTCTTTCACATCCTCTCTGTGAAGAAGAGAAAAGGCTGGAAGGCAACCTCTATGGGGTGCCCCAGAATGCAGGAATGCCTGACTCCTCGTAGGCTAAGGGAACTTCTGTCCTGAAGACCAGCGGTCACTGCTTTGGTAAAGCACACACAGGAGTGGAAGGAGCCATGCCCGGCTCATGGAACAAAGGACCCACCTGGCTGAGATGTGTGTTTTGGGGTTGTACAGAGACTCACAGGAAACACACCTTTAAGAACCACACAGGTGTGAGCATTCTGGGGATGCCTTTGTAAATCTTCACATATGTCATTTAATAAGCTGTTTTTTCACATATTGGGCTACATTGGACAAGTCCAGGATTTTGAATTCAAGATGAAGCAATGAGGAATCATGGATGTCTTTTTTTTTTTTTTTCCATGCACTGTTTGTAGGAATGAGTAGAAATGGACCATTATTATTCCTTGTTCCTTAGATTTCCAATAAGGAATAAAGTGTTATAATACCTTTATAATAATATAAAGCAAGTGGGATTACAGTAGCAGCTTACTATCTCAATATTGTCCTACCCCACATCTGGGAAACATGACTCTGGGAAACATGCTTTATGATACTTCTTGGAAATTAAATTGTTGGTGACTAGTAAATCACATTCCTTCTTTTGCTACTGTAGGAGCGATATCTTGGGATATCCAGGGTGCTCAATAAATGTACATTATTTCTTTTTTAAAAATGTATTTAGAACAGGGCCTATAGGATCTCACTACATAGATTGGACTCGTAGAGATTCTCCTGTTTTCAGCCTCCAAGTGCTGGGATTACAAGTGCATGCCACCACATGCAGTCTCAATTGTGGTCTCAGCATACCCAGGGGACGGGGATGGCACAGCACGCCGGGGATTGAACCCCCACCACTACACCATGCCTAAGCAGACACTTTAGTCCACTGAGCTGGCCGGCCCAAAAAATGTGCACTATTTCTCAAGAATATCAGGCACAAGAGGAGAATTGATCTGTCAAGTGGTAGTCTCTTGAAATAGTTGCATAAAATACTGAGCTACTGGGCTGCAGAGATAGCTCAGCGGTCTAAGTGCCTGCCTAGAAAAGCACAAGGATCTGGGTGTGGTCCTCAGTACAGCATGCTGTGCTGGCCCCACCCCTGGGAGTGTTGAGCCTGCCAACAAGACCAGGCGTGGTGGCACATGCCTGTAATCCCATCCCTGGGTAGGCGGAAACAGGACGATCACTAGGAGTCCAAACTGCTTAGTGAGACCTTGTACCAAATACATAAAATTAAAAAAATATATTCTGAGCTGCTTCTGAGGCTTTCATGCCAATTTGCCTTTGAATTTAATCATAGTAAGCCAATACAGAAAACCTTAGATAGGATGGAGACAGGGAGGTAGATTTTGTGGGATGGGCAGGGGGTTAGAGTAGGTGGAGAGGGTAGAGCTGCGAAGGAAGGGGAAAGTAAAATAGATTATGATGCAATATGTTATAGGTACCCATTTCCCCAGAATAATGTCATTATTATGTGTTGGAAATATTTACTAGTAAAATTGTTAGGTGTCAAAAAACGAGTAAGAGCCTAGTCCTAGCCCAGGCCCGGTGAGTGTGTGGGAGAACTTCCCGCTACCCTGCGCCGGAGGGACCTATTACTGGTCCCAGCCCAGGTGCAGTGTGGGTGAGACCCTCTTTCACACCCTTGGGATGACCCCCACCACTCAGCAGCACCTCCCCCACACTGCCCACCGACTAGGAATTTCTACCGCGTTCCGGGAACCCCCAGACCCAGCCCTAGCCCAGGCCCAGTGAGTGTGTGGGAGAGCTTCCGGCTACCCTGCGTGGGCAGGAACACCCAGCCCAGGTGCAGCGAGGGTGAGACCCTCTTCCACTCCCTTGGGACACCCCCCCTACCACTCCACAGTACCTCCCCCTCCCTGCCCAAGGAGTAGAAATTTCTGCTCTATTCCGGGAACCCCCAGATCCAGTCCTAGTCCAGGCCCAGTGAGTGTATGGGAGAGCTGCCTCTCCCCCCTACTCCATCTTGTCCCCTCCAGACTCAGCTCAGGCCTGGCATACAGGCTTGGATGAAACCCTGCAGCTGCAATCCCTGCAGAGAGTACAGGGGACAAAACCACCCAGCTAGTCCAGGAGCAGAACATCTTGCCAGAGAGGCACAACAGATTCACCCCCAAGAGGAGGAACAGGAAAGAGTGGAGCAGAGCAGCGAGACCCAAGTAGGGCACAGCTGGATAAATCCAAACTTTGTAATCTGCACCTGAACTTCAGGAGGTGCTAAGGTTATAATTGCAACAAAGATCTACAACAAAGGTCAGAAGATAGTGCTACACAAAATAATGAGAAGGAACAAAATGCAACCTCAGAATCCAAGCCCACCTGTAACAACTGCAGAGTACACTAACACAGAACAAATTGG